TTCCAAATATTTTACCTATTATAAATTGTAATGCCTGCAGAATAACATTCTCACCTCTTCAATGGTGATAGGCCCAAATGGTTTGCCTGCGTTCCATTCTGATTCCGTTTTTTCTTGAACATATTTTTTATTGTTGTTTCCAGCACACTCGGTAACACGTAGAACATGTTTTGGACTCAAATTTAATACTTGACCAAATAAGTAAGAGGTACGTGCTTCTGGATATTGAGGTAACTTGCTTTTTATGGAGTCAGTTTTCTCCTTTTCAAAAATTCTTCTACGAAGACATAATGTTTGGCATACAACCCATCCAACAGCTAATACACTAGACTGTTAACAAATTCTCTCTTTAATATATTGATTATAATTAACATTATGATAATATAAACTTATATATAAACTAATTTAATCATTCACATTTATATCATAATTACTAGTATGTACTCATATTATTGATATTCAACAATTTGCTATTAAATATTGTTTTATTACTTATGAAAACATTTTGTAATAACAGGTATAGTTTTATTACATCATACATTACATCATCAATTATAAATCCAAGAATTTATGATGGTAGTGACATTTATAAATTCATTTGTACATATTACGAGCATGAAGAAATAACGATTAAACATCCGAAAGACTAATTTTAACCCATATCGGACTTTCTATTTACAATAGATTATTGTTCGTTTTTGAGCTCATACTGTTTGGAACAATAATGTATGTGCCTCATTATTTAAAAAAAAATGTAGACAGAATTATAAATTGCCACTAAAGGAACATTAAAGTCACCCCTAAAATTTATTAGTAATTTGGAAAATTAATTGTCTATTATATTCTGGAAAACACTTCTCCCCTCAATAATGCTTTTATATAAACAATTGCTAAATACTTATTACTAGGAGAATTTTGAATATCAAAAATGTGTAACAATATTCTAATAATAAAAATTGATTAAAACTATAATTTTAGCAAAACCAAACTTGTTTAAATACACAGTCGATTTTACACGTTTTGCTTTTTAAACTTATCATTTATATTTTGCTTTTTATGTGATAAATGTGGAAGAATGATCAAATCAAAGATAAAGAAGATAAACATAAATGGCGCAATTTACCCATCCTACAGCTTCTGTCCAGGTATGTTTTGTATTCCATTTGGAATCCTCCTTTTTATCCTTAAAATCGCCAGCTTTCGCAGATCCGCAGAATTCTTGATTAAAAACCGAAATACTTGGCGTAACGAACTTATGATTGCATGTCAAATTAGTTTTAACCTCATTTTTTGTATTATCTTGAGATGTTTGCGAATAAACATTCGTACGGCATGTACGACGTTCTAAAGTCTCGCGGATTCCACGAGTGACAAATTTCCACATTTTGTACGCAAATTAATTGAAAAAGTTTAAATTTAAAGAAAATTTCTTTTCAACTCCACCGTGATCTTACTAACATCTAAATGCGCCTGCACCTGACGAAGCAGAGCGGCGCACTGCACTGAACGATTGAACTTATACATAATATGTATGTACAAGTTATTCTTTTTCAACAAGCTTTGCGCAAGCTCTTTTGATGCGCTTCCTAATTTAACAATTTTTATTCTAATAAACATTAACGAATTATATTTTTGTTCATCATTAAAATTATTGATAAATAAAATAGTGAAGGACAATTGTTGAATAATACTATTTTTATTACTAAAAGGTTAAGTTAATTATAAGTATTCGTTGTTTACATTTCTAATATAATTGATTTGGAAATGAAGAAAATGAAAGGAAAAAAAAGTATTTTTGAAAAGTAAAAATATATTATACCTTTTTAAGGAAATTACATACCATGACAAGTATTTTAATATAATATAATTCTATTTTTGCATTCTGTAATTGCGATGACGTTATTGATACGCATTTAAATACAAAAGTGTCTTAAGTTTGCTTCTTTATACCTCAAACATATTGTAAATACCTATAACCAAATTTTCACTATAATATACTATAAAAAAAAGATACATTTCTATATCTTTTCAAAAGTGTAAACAAAGTGTTTATATTTAAATAGATTAACAATTTCAATTTTTTATGCAACAGTTATTATATAATGCCATATGGTGTTGCATACAGTTTAAATAATTGGATGTATGAAATTTAAAAACTGAATGCTTCATAAATATTTTCACCAAGTGTTTTAAGTTCTTCATTTGTCACTAAACGATGCAATAAATCTGTCTGAAAAGCTTTTGGCATCGATTTGTCTGGTACTTGCCCATTTATAATTGGTATTATTTTAGCCATGGGCATTGATACCTTATTGATATTAATAAATGTACTGTTGTTCACTTCTACGTTATTTTTTTCCCTCCAACTTATATGATTCTGATTCGATGTTCCTGGTACTGAAATACCATTTGGGGTTTTGCCATTTTCTTTTGTAGGACCAGTGAAAAATTCAGACATATGATCTATCAACAAACTAAATCCATTTCTAATGTTGCTTTGCGTTATGTTTTGTACTTCTTCATTTTCCAAAAGATCAAGGGTCTCATTAATCAATTTCATAAACATAGGATCTTCTTCGCCATCGCATTCTGTCTGTAGCATGTATGTAGTAAGATTCTTAACAGGATCCCTTGAACTGTCCGTAGATATAGAAGATGTAATGGCCCAATATATTTCTTCTATATTCTTTAGAGTTAATTCGTCTTTCAATGAAATTGAGGTTGTTATTTCTACAACCTTACCCTTAATAAGTGAACATAATTTCTTTATCCCATCGTGCCTAAAATGGCTTGAGAGCGACATATATTTTGTCTGTACAATATTTTCTGCAGATGCACCATTGGAGTTTTGAATATCCTTGTACATATGACCACCTATTATGCTAAACTGAATCCTTATTAAAGTAGCTGCCATTGCATATGAATATATTATAACAGCTGATCTGGTAATTGCTAAAACTTTCAGTACATTCCAACATGCTACTTTATCAGTGCAACCATTTCTGAGTTTATTTACAATAACTTCAGTGTCTAAAACTTGAATTACAGTGTCTCTTAGAGTTGATGTAAGAGACATTATCATTTGACTGCATATTCTTTCTATACATTCGAAGTATTCTTGCCTTTTCGTTCTTTCAAGTATCTCTTTGATTTCTTTTCCTTGCAATTCTCGAAGTCTACGTTGTGTATATCTTATGAAAATAACACTGCTGATGACAATACTTCCCACTATAAACTTCCGTCTATGTCGGCTCACAAACCCTCTGATACTTGACAACATTTTTCAGAATTAGGTATTTAAACTAAGGAACGTGTACAAAGCGCTACATACTTTGTATCCTAAATAGTTACAACAAGTTTCCTTGGAACTTGAGTACAAAGCGAATGATTATGAACTAATTTATTATACATTCACTTCTGCAGAATTATTTAACACTACACGTTCTAATCTATTTGTAACAAAATTTGTTGTATCAATAAATCTTTCTATGCAATTAACAAGACACTTTTCTATCTTCGCACCCAAACGAGTACTAGGTGTATCAACACAAATATCCCAACAGATGTCAGTTAAGTTATATACCAAACCCTGAAAAAGAAACAAATCATATTTAAAAAACACATAAATATGTTAGCATCTTATGTAGCGTATCACAAAAGCATATACATATGTTACTTGGAAGTTATTTAAAAGGGTCGTATAAAACACTGTTAAAAGGTACGGTTTCGAATACAATTTTTCGTTTATAGTAGACAAATGACCACAATTATTCTGACATAGGAAGTAAAGCCAATGAGTATTTCTTATACTTCCTATATTCGACAGATAATAATATACTAAAATTGAATATTCAAGTTAATGCTATCAAATTGATGAGTCATTCGTTTAGAAGATATTTTTATATTATCGAAAACAATGTAAAAAAAAATACCGATAACAATTCCCGAGCTAACCTGAAACTGTTGTTTCTTAGCTTCAGTCTCTATGAAGGCCTGAAATCGCTCATCGACCGCACCTTGCGACCTTTGCTCCTCCATAAAACTCATTCTTTACTTCCCACCGTACTTTTAACACTGAAATAATGGAAACATTTGACCTTTAGACCATTAATTCTCTTACCTTATTTCAATTTTATTGCGCTACCGACTACAGAGTAGTGGTTCAAATTATGTACGTATAATTTGTTTCCAATAGATTAAAATAATGATAAAAATTTAATAACGATGATACTTTACATTAATACAATATATTTTATAATTTTAACTTGAATATTAAAATTACTTCACAGGCAGAAGATGTATGTATGTAACACAGAGAGGAAATGAGAACTCGTGCTTTCTGCTCTGAGCGCTCACGCCCAAGGTTTCAGAGCCAGAACCCAGAACCACCAACCACCACTTTTGTGCTTTAGCATGGAACAGAACCTACAATAATTTTAACACAGACTAGGTATAGTAACAGGTCCTAGCATCGAAACACCCCAAGGTCTGTAAAACAAGAGCTTGGCTGGTAAGCTCCGTGCGGCCATATTGCTACATTGCTCAGAGTACATATACATATGTATGTATTATGTATCTTCTTGCCTGTATGCATATATACGGAAGCAGGGCTCGCGGCCCGTAAGAAATTTCAGAACTTTCTCCCACTTTTCTGACTGCAAAAGAAGGTGTCACCGAGAGCAACGCGACGAGACATTCTCCACTTCTAAAAAGAACAAGTTCTGAAAGTTGTTGCGGCCTGTGAGTCCTGTCTAGAGGTTAGTTTTCGAAAAACACCGGAATTTAGTAAATAAAATAATAAGAATATTGTTTTTATGTAGAAATAACAATAAGCTAGTACTAGGTAGTTAAAAATATATAAAATTTCATACAAAGTGATGTTTCATTAATTACAGAGTCTATATATGACCCGTGAAAAGGGATCAACAATCATGCAAGCAAGTGCATGTGTAACACCACGAATTTTTACTGCAATACAGAATGTGGACATATACGAGTTATCAATGTGTTCTCATAAAGAAATTCGACCAATTTTACCATGTTTGGTCCGCATGAGTCTAATTTCTCCTTTAGACATAACAAGAGACTGTGTGGAAGAAAGAAAACAAGTTCTGACAATTTTGTCTGGTATTGAATCAGTAAACTCGATAATTGCACTGCTTTCAATAGACTTTCATGCATTGGAAACTGATGTTCGTAAAGAGCAGCAATTGAGGTTAGTTTTACTGTTATTTACTTATAATTGAAAATCTACTACATATTAAATGAATTATGTTTTTAGGCAAAAATTAGGTAGTTTGCAGAGAGATAGTGTACTTGCCCAATCACTGCAAAGTGGTCTTGCTTTGGAGTTTGAACGTAGTGAGTCTACAAGGCGCATAAGACTTGTTTTAAGTGAATTGTTGTATATAGCCTCTCAAGTACAAGAATTACAAAAGAATCAAGAATTTCAAATCAAGCAATCTGATTTATTTGATAATGCAGTGTATATGGAAGAAATTAGTTATGTAATTTGTATTGCACTGGCGGAGTTGCCAACCCTACTATCAATTTTAGATATTACGGAAACATTACTACATGTTAAACATGGTCCAGAGATAATTTGTTGGATAGTTGCAAATATTCCTGATAGCTTTAATGAAGTATGTGCGCATTTAATTGCCAATGGAGAAAGACAAGAGGAATCAACATTGGGCCGAATCAGAACAATGGCTTTGACAATGTTATGTCAAATGAACCCTAGTCAAGCTTTAGCAATAAGAGCAAAGTGTGTAGAACTATGTAGAATGCCTGCTTTAGCCATTACATTAAGTCTAGAACATGAAAATATAAACAATGATGACTCAGAAAGTGATATAGTTGCATTTGTATCAGGATTATTGCTTGGTAGTGATCAACAAGTAAGGACATGGATTGCAATGTTTATCAGGAATGGACAGAAACGTAAATGGGAATCTCATACAGCATTACAAACATTAAGAGAAGAACTTCTCAAACGTTTACAAGTAATCACATCCCAAAATGCAGGTCAATTAGCAGAAAGTCAAGTCGTTCAAGCCAGTGCATTATTACGTCTTTATTGTGCATTAAGAGGTATTGGAGGTATTAAATTTCAAGATGATGAGGTAGCAATGATTGTTCAGTTGTTAACATCTCATCCACCTCCATCTCCTGCTGGCGTAAGATTTGTTTCTTTAGGTCTCTGTATGCTGATAGCATGTTCATCATTAATAGGACATCACAATCTTGAAAAGCGTAGTATAGAGTGGGTGCAATGGCTTGTTCGTGAAGAAGCTTATTTTGAAAGTGCTAGTGGTGTCACAGCAAGCTTTGGAGAAATGTTACTTTTGATGGCTATACATTTTCATAGCAATCAACTATCTGCTATCTGTGAACTTGTGTGTGCAACTCTAGGAATGAAGATACCAATTAGACCAAATAATTTGACCAGGATGAAACAAATTTTTATGCAAGAAATATTTACAGAGCAAGTTGTTACTTCTCATGCAGTGAAAGTACCAGTAACAGCTAATTTAAATGCAAATATTCCAGGATTTTTGCCTGTACATTGTATTCATCAATTATTGAAATCACGAGCATTTGCAAAACACAGAGTTCCAATCAAAAATTGGATTTATAAACAGATTTGTAATAGTGTGCCACCACTGCACCCAGTTCTTCCTGCTTTGGTTGAAGTATATGTCAATTCCATTGTATTAACCAACAATAAAACGTCAGAACACACAAACAAACCAATTACTGAAGACGAAATTAGAAGAGTATTCCAAAACAGTGTTTTTGGAGCAAATTTTGATTTTAAGAAAGGTATTACTGCTCCTCAGTGCGAGGTTGATAATACAGATTTTGAAATTACAAAACCTTCTCTTACATCACAGTTGCTATTACTGTATTACTTATTATTGTATGAAGATGTCAGATTGTCTAATATGCATACATTCATCTCACAGGATAGAAAAGTTAAATCATATTCAACTGAATTTCTATCCGAGTTACCAATAAAATACCTACTTCAATTGGTTCAAAGGGATCAAATGAATTATGCCGGTCTCTTTTCTCCTCTTCTTAGACTATTGGCAACTCATTTTCCCCACCTTTCATTAGTAGATGATTGGCTTGATAATGAGATGATTAATATAGACTCGACGGTTATAAATTATGAGAATGTAAAGATTACTGATATCATGATTATTGAAACATTTTCTCATATACAAACATGCCCTTCAAGAACAGGGAGATTGTTAAGACAATTAATGTCAACAAAACCAATTGATATCTGGCCTCATGCTGAAGTTATAATTTATTATTTCAAGGCTATCTTAAATCAAGGAGTTCCTAG